GCCATACATTTCAGGGTATGGAGTGTATGAATTGGAACCACGCAGAACACAGCTAAACCCAAACCGAGCTAGCCGAGTGATGATATTCCTTAGTTGGATCAGGAAACATCTGCAAGGAAACCCCCAAGCTCAGAGTCGCCAAGGACCCTGGATTTCAACATTGAGCTACAAATATTCTTCTTTATTAGCGTCTAATAAATTCTTTCCCCCTTTTCAGCTAAACTCCTCATGCCAACCATCGCTATTTAGCTGTCTCTTTATTCTTTGCTGTGCTGCCACCTATTCTTCCACAAAGGGCCAAAGGCAAAGTACCAAGATTTTGAATTTCCACAGGACGTTTCCAATTCAACGGTTGGAAGAAGAATACTATATGCAACCCAACAACAAGGCTTTTATGGGTCTCTTTTGGTCTCCACGGCTGGCTTCCACCTTCTATCCAGTTGTCCAGCTGCCTTTTCCAGCCTTTCCACACCTGGAGATGATTTCATTGCCTTTGGAGGGGGGGGCAGAGACTAGAGATCCCTTCCTCCCCCCCCCAAAACTAAAAAAAAATATAGCTTGACTTGCACCCATGTGGCTTCTCGGTGAGAGGAAACAGAGAGAGCTTGGTCAGAAACTAAGAAAAGAGGAACTGAAAGGGTGGGGTTAGGGCAGATAAGAGTTGGACTGCATGTTGTTCAATGTGGCTCTTCAAATCAGTCTCCTCCGGCTACTGCCATTGCTGTCACCCTCTGCTCAAATATCAGGAAGGCAGTGGGGGTCCATTCTCCCAGAATCTGGTGGGGCCCTCGCTGAAAGGATTGCCTGTAATCTGAGGAAGAAAAGAAAGAGGAAATAGCCAGTAAGTAAGTTTTGTTTCTCTATCTCTATCTCTCCACCGCTACCTCTTCCTCTATCATCTCTACCATCTGTGTGTGTGTGCGTGCCTCTGACTCTCTTTCTATATCTGTCTATCTATCCATCCATCCATCCATCCATCCATCCATCCATCCATCCATCCATCCATCCATCTATCTATCTAT